GTCAGGGTCCAGGGATGGGCTCACTGTGGAAAGATTGGAGCGTCAGGCCTGGTGCGGCCACACGGGTGGCAGAACCCAAAGCCTGACAGGCGCCTAGCATCAAGATCTGAGGATTGAAGTTCAAAGCCAGCCCAGGCAGACTAATCGACTCTTCTTTCTAATAAGCCAGCAAAATTCTGGAATTGGAGTTGTGGCTTAAGTAGTAGCATGCCAGCCTTGAGCAAAATAAGCCATGCAATGAGATATGTTACTGAGTGCAAGCCCCAGTGCTAGCACGCGTGCACACGCGCGCGCGCACACACACACACACACGAAAATAGGTATTCTCATTTAAAAACATCTGAAGTTTCCCAACACATGGAAAACCATAGGCATTTGAGGAAATGGGAATGTCAATTACACTATAGACATGAGTCATCATACTATATGATACGTACATATCACGTACAATTATGGTAGGTACCATGTATATGTAGTTTTTTTTTTTTTTTTGCTGTTGTTGGTTGTGGGGCTTGAGCTACAGCACCACTTCTAGTTTTCTAGTGGTCAATTGGAGATAAGAGTTTCACGGACTTTCCTGCCTAGGTTGGCTTCAAACTACAATCCTCAGATCTCAGCCTCCTGAGTAGCTAGGGTTATAGGTATGAGCCACCAATGCCTGGCTCATGTATATGTAGTTACATATTCACTGAAAATCATTTAACTTACCAAAAGTTGCCAAAAAGGGGCTGGGAAGGTGGCTCAGTGGTAGAGCGCTTGCCTTGCATGCATGAGGTCCTGGGTTCGATTCCTCAGCACCACATAAGCAAAAAGAAAAAAGCCGCAAGTGGCGCTGTGGCTAAAGTGGTAGAGCGCTAGCCTTGAGCTGAAGAGCTGAGGGACAGCGCTCAGGCCCAGAGTTCAGGCCCCATGACCGGACCAAAAAAAAAAAAAAAGTTGCCAAAAAATTGTGTTGAAAACACATACAGCATCTTCCATAAACATAGTGAAGTCATCAAACCCAAAAGCTTACTATTGACACAATACTAGTGACTCTCGTACACCCACTGAGCTCACTCTGATTTGCCAAGTGTCCTTCCCAGTGCCCCCTGCCTTTTTCAAGCTTTGTCTTTCCTGCTCCCTTTCCAAGCAGCTCTTCTCGATGCTTCATGCCCACACGCTTGTGTCCACACTGGACAGCCCCCGACATGTCTACCACGCGTAACAGTACCCTCTGGTCTCCTCACACCCCTGTGGTCTCTTCCACATGCAGGACGGTGTCTGTTACAGCCTCTCCCCGCCTTCCCTTCCAAGTCTTAGAAATACAGAAGAACTAAAGTCTTCCAGAGAAGCTAAAATTTGGCTTTTACTAGGGTGTGGCATTTGATACCACATCAGTGCTGTCTGCAATAGACAACTAACTCATCCACTCACATGAGCACACATGCTTGTGCCCTACATGAACACACAAACACTCGTGCACATATACATACACACAAAGAGGCATGCGCTCACATCTACCCCTGCACACATGTATGCACAAACATCCATGCACACATACAACTCATGAACTGCACTTGAACACACTCAGATATATGCACACATTCATGTGCACACATGCACATACAGATGGCAAAGATTTACACATGGGCCCAATGTATGGACAACTGTGTGCAGAAACACACCTGCATCTAACTCACGCGTACACACAGACATATACATGCTCACACGTGTGTGCACACGAGATGAGCATCGGAAAGCCAGCGAGGTTCTCGATTCGTCTCCTTGTGCCGCTAACACATCTGTCTTCTTCTGTCCCCTTGAGTCTCTCTGGACTGTTCCTTTTCCTCTTTCTCTTCCTTTTCTCTTTCACCCTGAGGTTTGAGTTCGCATCTCTCCTTTTCTCTCCATCATTCAAGAGTACACGATGGGCCGAGGCCAGATCCGCATGCCGTGCCCACCCTTTTCCCTTTCAGAGCAGCTCTTGTTTCTCGGCCCCAGCGGCGGCCGCTGCCCGCTCAGCCTGTCTTCGCGGTCCCCCGTGGAGTCCGCTGCCCGCTCAGCCTGTCTTCGAGGCCCCCCGTGGAGTCCGCTGCCCGCTCAGCCTGTCTTCGAGGCCCCCCGTGGAGTCCGCTGCCCACTCAGCCTGTCTTCGCGGTCCCCCGTGGAGGCCGCTGCCCGCTCAGCCTGTCTTCGAGAGGCCCCCCGTGGAGGCCGCTGCCCGCTCAGCCTGTCTTCGAGGCCCCCCATGGAGGCCGCTGCCCACTCAGCCTGTCTTCGAGGCCCCCCGTGGAGGCCGCTGCCCGCTCAGCCTGTCTTCGCGGTCCCCCGTGGAGTCCGCTGCCCGCTCAGCCTGTCTTCGCGGTCCCCCGTGGAGGCCGCTGCCCGCTCACCCTGCTGGATGCACAGCCCCCGCAGAGCACTGGATCAGGAGAGCGGGCCCCATCACAGCGCTGCCGGTTCACCAGGTTGCCTTTTCCATAACTGGCAACGACACGTAAAGATGTGATGTGTGGAGTTCCGCCCAGACTCCGCAGCCGGCACCCTCAAGGCTAGAGCTTTGCTCAGGTTTGAACCTAGGTTGAAGATGTTCCCAGTGTTCGTCATTGGAAGTCTGGTCCTCAGAATGGGGGTGCTGCCAGCTGTTGGGACTTGTTGGCGATGGGGCCTCTTCAGTGTGTAGTTAATCAGGACATCAGCCCAGGGAGGTAGTGGACTCCCCCAGGTCCCTGGCTGGCTACCGGGGCTTGTTATAAAGAGGGAGCCTCGTACGCATCCTGCCACACGCCGTGTGTCGTGAAGAGACCCTCTCAGAGGCTGACCCAGCCAGGCCAGCTGGCCATGACCCTTTCCAACCAAGAGTTAGATCAACCTCTTAAAAAACACATCACCCAGCTTCAGATATTTGGTTATAGTCATGGGAAAAGCACAAGCATGGGGTTGGAACTGAGATGTGGGAAGCCAACCAGCCTGCCCAGAATTATCTAGTGAAGAATAACCAGCCAACAGATCTCTCGGAGGTGATAGGTTCTCACTGGATGGCTGGAAAGGGGGTCATTCTCCCCGCCAGTCCCCCCGTCTTTAAGGGTAAAGGCAGTCTCTGCGTGCTGGGGTGGGGGGCTGGCCTCCCGGCCTGTCGTTTGAGGGGGCGGACCTCATGGCGGACCACACTCACCATGCAGTGGCTCAGCCTCCGCTTCGCTGGGCCTGGGTCCCTGCTGCTGATCCTTTGCTCCTTGCTCTGCCTCCTCCCCCAGCCATGTTCTGTGCTCTCTCTGGCGTTTTTTAAAGAGACAGACGACTCCAGCTATGACAAGTCCCAGTGAGATGCAGGTGAAGGGCAGCACTAGTCTCCATTCCATAAAGAGATGCCTGGAGAAGGGGGCTAAGGCAGCAGGAGGAGCAGGTGAGACAGCGTCTTTCACACTACAAGATTGACAGCTTGAAAGACATGGTGTTTACAAACCAGTCTGAAAGGTTCATGAACGCACAGACATTTGAATAGATAGGGTACTATGGTACCATACATATTCTGAATGTTTATGTCCCATCTCCACAATTCACATACTGAAATCCTAACCCATGAGATGGGGATTGGGAAGTGGGCCTTTGAACATGATATAGTCATGTGGGGTGGAGCCTCAAGCCTAGCATTGGAGCCCTTATAAAAGGGGTCTCAGAGAGCTCCTTGTTAGGGTGTAGTGAAAAGTGCTATCTATGACCAGGAAGCAGCTCCCACCAGACACAGTACCTGCTGCCCTTTACCTAGACTCTGACCTGCATCCAGGGCTGCTGTTTGTGGTTTAATCGCCACCCAGACCCAAGTACGTGTTACAGCATCAATCAGAATGGAAGAGGACAATTGTGCATGTATAGAGAGAGAATATAATGATTATATATCTACTAGATATCTACTTATAAAGAGAGACAATGAAATATTAAACTGTGATGATTTGGGTAAAGGATGCATAAACTTCTCTATTATTTCTACAAGTTATCTGTAAGGTTGACATCATTCCGAGTAACACTTCTAATAGGGCAGGGTACTGTAGCTCACGCCTGTAACCCTAGCTATTCAGGAGGCTGAGATCTGAGGACCACAGTTTGAAGCCAGCTTGGGCAGAAAAGCTGCTGAGACTCTTATCTCCAGTTAATCAGCAAAAAGCTGGAAGTGAAGATGTGGCTCAAGTGGTAGAGCATGAGCCTTGAGTGGAAACACCAGGGGAGAGAGCAGGCCCTGAGTTCAAGGCCCAGGACTGGCACAAACAACAACAGCAGTGAACGCTTAATGGAAATTTAGTCGATAAATGACTAAATAAACTGTGCTTCGTTTAGACAGTGAAATATTATTCAGCCATCAAAAGAATGATCTTTCAGGCCATCAAGGCGGGAGCTGAGTGCTGGTGGTTTGCGTCAGTCATCCTAGCTACTCAGGAGAATGAGATCTGAGGATCACAGTTCAAAGCCAGTCCAGGCAGAAAAGTCCCTATGACATGCTTGTGTGTGTGTGTGTGTGTGTGTGTGTGTCTAGTCGTGGGGCCTGAACTCTGGGCCTGGGCGCTGTCCCTCAGCTCTTCAGCTCAAGGCTAGTGTGCTACCACTTGCGCCATAGCACCACTTCCGGCTTTTTTTTTCCTGCTTATGTGGCGGCTGAGGAATCGAACCCAGGGCCTCATGCATTCAAGGCAAGTGCTCTACCACTGAGCCACCTTCCCAGCTCCCCATGACATTCTTATCTCGAATGAACCACTCAAAAACTGGAAGTGGTGCTGTGGCTCAACGTGTTAGAGCTCTAGCCTTGAGCAAAAGAGCCTAGGACAGTGTCCAGACCCGAGTTCAAAGCCACATGACTGACAAAAACAAACAACCTCCCCCCCTAATCTACTGCATATTTTTAAGAGCAAAATAAATCCAGAAAAATGAATACTGAAGCATACCTTGTCTTGTTCCTACAGCACAAGAAAGGTCATGTCTCTGGCCCTTATCTTTGACATAGCTCAGGAATCAATATCCAGACTGTGTCACCGAGTCCCCAGCAGGGCTGTGGACAGGGCCAGCTGACCAGACCCGGCTGCCCCGGGCAGTACAAGCCCCTCCCGCGTCCCCGGGGTGCAGGGCCGTGGGCATGGCGCGCAGTGATTGTGAAGACAGAATGGCACAGAATACTCACAGGGCAGGCGCCTCGCAGCTACTTTACTCTCAGAGAGGAGAGGGTTGGAGATGGAGCAGGTCAGACCGTCTATAGCCCTGTCCTGGGGGGCTACACTGGACACCACGCCGAAGAGGCCTGTGGCGGCTGAGACGGAGACGCGGATCACAGCAGGCAGCGTCTGTCCTCTGAGGTCCCTCCACTCCACCCGGGGCTCTGGGTACCAGCCTGCTGAGCTGCACGTTGCCCAGATGCCTTGGTCCTGTTTGTCAATCACTTGGATTTGAGGGGCTGCGCCCAGCCCTGTGGAAAGACATCAATCAGCTCAAATCTTTGTAGCCACAGCCTCTTCCATTTAAAAGAAAGCTTAAAGAGTTTTAGTAGGTGCTAATAGTGTGTGTGTGTGTGTGTGTGTGTGTGTGTGTGTGTGCACGCACACATCAGTCCTGGAGCTTGAACTCAGGGACTGGGCACAGTCCTGAGCTTTAGTGCTCAAGGCTAGTGCTCTAGCCACAGCTCTGCTTCTGGCTTTTTGCTGGTTATTTTGAGATAAGAGTTTCACAGACTTTCCTGCCCAGGCAGGTTTTGAACTGTGATCTTCAGATCTCAGCCTCCTGAGTAGCTAGGATGACAGGCATGAGCCACCGGTGCCCAGTGTAGTACTAACAAATTTTCACCAACTGTGTATCATGTCTACTGCAGGACCTTATTATCTAGATGAAAAGAAACAAAACAAATCAGAAAAGGACCAGGAAGACAGATTGAATTTCCTCTCCTATACTAATTGACCAGGATCTGTATGACCAAAGACCAAGCTCTGAGTCATTTAGGAAAACTTCTCTGTACACCCCTCACTTTCTCTCTTCTCCCCCATATTCTTTCCGTGTTTTCTCCTTTCCCTCTCTGGGTCTCTGCCCCTGCCTCTCTGTACACCCCTCACTTTCTCTCTTCTCCCCCATATTCTTTCCGTGTTTTCTCCTTTCCCTCTCTGGGTCTCTGCCCCTGCCTCTCTGTTTCTTTTGCTTTTTCTGCTTCTCTAGCCTTCCATCTGTTTTCATTTGTCTTTGTCTTCTTTCCATGTTTTCTTTGTCTCATTCATTATTCTTTGTCTTTCTTTCACTCTTTTTTTGTTTCTCTCTACCTCTGTCTTTCCAATTCTCTGATCTGGTTGTCTGTCTGTCTTGCTCTGTTTCTCTATTTCTTTGTCTCTGTTTATCTGTCTGTCTGTCTCTGTCTCTTCCTTTTCCTCCCCATAGACTCTTTCCAGATGTAATAGAGGGAGGAAGATGAGCAGGCAGTAGTGCATTGGGAAGTGCATTTTGGGGGAGACACGCAAGGTGCAGAGCTTGTGGGAAGTTGGGTCTCCAGCTTTAGAGCTGTGGGCCATGAGGCCCCGAGGTGCAGACTGGGGTTGGTGTGGTGAGGGCCGAAGCCCTGGGTGACAGGGAGAGCTCTGGGTGGCGGGAGGGCCGCGCTCCTCACCTGCCACCTTCAGCCACAGGGTGGCATGGCTGTAGGACGTGTGCTCCTTGAAAAGGCAGTGGTAGGTCCCATTGTCAAACGTGGTGACGTTGTGTATCCTCAGGGCGGCCACACCCCAGTCCAGGCCGCTCACGAGCGCCGTCCTCCCCCGGTACTCCACCATCTGCTCTTCCTGGGCGTCCCTCCCGCCCACACGCACGTGCACGGCTGGCGTGGGCTGCTCCCGGTACCACCTCAGCTCCATGCCCTGGGCGCTGATGCTGGGGGCGAGGCTGCACGGAAGCTCTGTGTCCTCCCCCACAATCGCCAGGAGGGGGTCTTGGGGTGCAAGGACGTAGAAGTCCGCTTTCCCTGTGATAGATGGAGCCGAAGGACCTGTGTTAGGCCACGCGTCTTTGTCTTGGGGGGGTGAAGGTTCTCCAAGCCTGAGGAGCCTCAGCTCAGCTCAGCCCTGGGCATGTCCCTTCTCGGCTGGGCACCGCCCCAGGGGCAGGGGTGGGGCTGACCTACCATGGCCAGTGGGCAGCATCTGCAGGAAGAGGAGCATGACGAAGCCTGGCAGAGAGCCATCTCCACGGGCTGGCTTTGCCATTCCTATTGGAAACACAAGCCACACGGAGGGGACATGCCTCAGAAGGCACGAGAGGAGTGAAGGAAAAATGACCTTGACAGAGAGAAGCCACTCACTGACGCTGCCGTCGCGCTACTGACCACAGTAAGAGGACAGCCTTCCACCGGGCGCCATCCTGTTCCCCGTACCCTTGGCTGGGATGGGGTTTGTTTTCTAGCCTGCTCACGTAAGGGTTTTCACCCTGTCTCCAGGCTTTACAGTTATGAAACACCAGTGTGCTAGGGAGACAAGCCAAGCTGTGGAAAACAGAACCACACCAACAGCGGCCCTTCGGGTGCACTGCTTTCCTGGAAGAATTGTTACAACACGGAGTGTGGAGGGGGCCAGTCCCGCCCGGACCGCACTCAGATGGGCGTGCGGAGACGCTCAGCAAACACATTGGCAGTGTTGTCTGTTTGCTGTTAGCTGGGGGGCCTCCCGGACACAGCATCACGTGACTGGTATCGATGTTGGCAAAGGGTTTTGCCTTCATTGGATCTTCCCTCCTGGAAAGCCTGTGGGGTCTCCCTGCCTCGGGAGCATGAAGAGAGAGGAGAGCGCGCTAAAACACCAGGGATTTTTGTGAAAGTAGAGCACACGCACCTCACTTGAGTCCGGAGGCCAGCTTCCAGGAGAACGCCGGTGGCTTACGTCCGTGCACCTTCCTGGCAGGGCATCTCCAGGTGGCTATGTGGGAAGGGAAACTAGAAACCCAGCTCTCTGGGTTTACAGATGCCTTCTTGCTTGCAAAAATAACCAATTCTGACCTTCTGGCAGGTGTAACAGAAAAAAAGTCTCCTGAGAGGTGTGGCCCACATTGCTGGGGGCCGCAGATAACGCTGCTGGGAGGAGAGATAGGGGAGGAGAGTAGGTGTGGTGTCCTGGGCGGGCGGCAGCAGGGCTGGTTTGGAGCCTTGAGGTTCCAAGGAGGGTGGCAGGCTGAGCCCCGCCGAACACAGATGCGGAGGGAGTCAGACTGAGAACCCCTCAGTCAGCCAACCTGGGTCCAGTTCCTTTCAGAACGGTGTTAGGGTAGTGTGGACTTTGCCCTTTCCTTTCCCCTGCGACTCGGGTCTGAGGAGTCTTCTCCTGGAAGCCTCTGTCGGTTCTTAGAACCACCACTTGTTTCTCTGCATCCAGTGCCGGTCCTGGGGCCTGAACTCAGAGCCTGGGTGCTGTCCCTGAGCTCTTCTGCCCAAGGTTAGAGCGCTACCACTTGTGCTCCTCTTCCAGCTTTTTGGTACCTGGATGTAAGCATCTCATTTACCCTCTGGCGTGGGCTAACTTCAAGCAGCCATCCTCAGTCTCAGCCTCCTGAGGTGCTAGGCTGAGGTGAGCAGTTGGTGGCTGGCCCATTTTTCTCTCTTACTGACTCAAAGCTTTGGGTATCTTCGTGGACAGTGAAGTGTTTCATTTAATTTAGCAGAGAGTATAGGATTCCTGGGGTTCTACTCTGCTCAGAGCTGTTGAGAAAATACAAGCTCCAAATCCTCCCTGCACTCCTCCTCATGAGAGGTATCCCTTTGATAAGCAAGTAATTCCCTCCCCCTACGTTTCTTTTTACATAAATGTAAGAATTATGGTGGCTTGTCTTCATCATCCTGTGAACTGCTTTAACTTGGCTCCACATAAAACTCAACTCACACATCCTTAGGTGTCAGGAAAGGAGGATTTAGGTTTTACCAATCTGGAGCCAGGACCTGTATAATCATGATAGGAATAAATAAAATATAAATAAAAATAAACTAGGTTGGACTCCAGTGGCTTATGCTTGTAATCTTAGCTATTCAAGAGAATGATAGGGGGCTGGGAAGGTGGCTCAGTGGTAGAGCGCTCACCTTGCATGCCTGAGGCCCTGGGTTCGATTCCTCAGCACCACATAAGCAAAAAGATAAAACAGCCGGAAGTGGCACTGTGGCTCAAGTGGTAGAGCGCTAGCCTTGAGCTGAAGAGCTGAGGGACAGCGCCCAGGCCCAGAGTTCAGGCCCCATGACCGGACCCAAAAAAAAAAAAAAAGAGAATGATAGATCTGAGGATTGAGGTTTGAAGCCAGTCTGGACAAAAACCCCGTGAGACCTTCACCTCCAGTTAGCTAGCAAAAAGCTTGAGTGGAGGTATGGTTCAAGTGATAGAAGGCCAGATTTAAGCAAATAAGCCAAGAGAGAGATTGAGAGCCTGAGTTCAAGCCACAGCATTGGCACAACAAGAAAAATAAATATAACCTGAGCCAAGTACCAGTAGCTGCCTGTAATCCTAGCTACTCAGGAGGCTGAGATCTGAGGATTGTGGTTCAAAGGCAGCTCAGGCAGGAGCTGGAAATGGAACCGTGGCTCAAGTGGCAGAGTGCTAGCCTTAAAAAACAAAGCTCAGGGACACCAGTTCCTGAGTTCAACCACAGGTCCAGTACAAAAACAAGGCAAAACTAGAACCACCATAGGATCCAGCAATCCCACTCTTGGATATGTCTGTGTGTTCAAAGGAAGGGAAAGCTGGGTGCAGGTAGCTCACACCAGTAATCCTAGCTACTCAGGTGGCTGAGATCTGATTGTGGTTCAAAGCCAGCCTGGGCAGGAGACTCCATGAGCCTCTTAGCTGCAATAAACTACTCAAAAAAGCCAGAAGTGGTGCTGTGGCTCAAGTTGTAGAACACTTGTCCTGAGCAGAAGAAGCTCAGGGACAGCCCCGGCTCCGAGATCAAGCTCTAGGACCAGCAGAAAAATGAAAAGGAAGTCAAGTCATTGTGTCAGGGACATTTCCTCCCACTCATCACAGCAGCACTCACCGCTGCCTAGTTGTCCACCAGTGGGTGGGTGAATTGCTAAAGACTACATGGTGCATGTGACAACGGAATGCTAATCTGCCTCAGAGAACAGTGCAATCCTGCAACAAAATAAACGAAGCCAGAGGACATTGTGTCAGGTAAGAAATCCGGTGCAGAAAGAAAAGTGCCCCATGTCTTGACACAGGTTGACGCTACGGAAGTGGGGAGTAAAATGGCTACCACGCTGTAGGAATAGAAGGGGGTGGGAGGTGGGAGGGGAGAGGTTGATCAGGAGCGAGACATCCTGGTGCACGATGGTTCAGTGCATCACTACTGATTATAGTGAATGATTTTGTACTGCCTATCTCAAAAAAGAAAGGGCACTGAATGTTTTCACCATAGAAGTATGAAAAATGTTTGAGTATTTCACAATGTGTGCATGAATGAAAGCATCCCATACGTGCGTACCCCGTAAGTATGCATAATTTTTTATGTTCTGATCAAACTGTAAATTTAAATAAAAACATAGACGGCTCATAAGATGAGTAAACTGGGTAGCATAGGAAGGGTGAGTGCTGTAAGTCCTATGCATTAGGAAGCCGTCTGAAGGAGCCGAGAAGCTTCCAGACAGTGGGTGGTCCTCACGAAGCAGTCGCTCATGCGTGGCACAGCCGCTCTTGCTGGAAGCAAGAACGCCCAGAGACGTCAACTGCCATTGTGTCTCAGGCATGATTTTAATATTCAAAGGTGGAGTCTTTAACTCCTGTTTCTTGCAGAAGAAGAAGGAAATGCTTTTCTCTCTTTACTTTCTCCTGTTCCTCACACCAGCGCCTGGCCTGTCTGGGAGTTTTATTGTAGGGCTCTGAGCTACTTTAAAATCAGCTAAAGGTGCTAACTGCCAAACCCTGGGACTGTCTTAAATGTTGCTGAATTGTGTACTCTAACATGGTTCATGTATGCCTGGTTCCCGTGGCTCAATCTATAAACCTAGCGACTCGGGAGGCTGAGATCTGAGGATTAGGGTTCAAAGTTGCCCACAATGAAAAGTCCATGAGATTCTTTTTTGTTTTTTTCTTTGTTGGTTGTGGGGCTGAGCTCTGGGCCTGGGTGCTGAGCCACCTTCCCAGCCCACCCATGAGATTCTTTTTTTTGGTCGGTCGTGGGGCCTGAACTCTGGGCCTGGGCGCTGTCCCTCAGCTCTTCAGCTCAAGGCGAGTGCTCTACCACTTGAGCCACAGCACCACTTTCGGCTTTTTTCTTTTTGCTTATGTGGTGCTGAGGAATCGAACCCAGGGCCTCGAGCATGCAAGGCAAATGCTCTACCACTGAGCCACCTTCCCAGCCCACCCATGAGATTCTTGTCATCAATTAACTATCAAAAAAAAGAAAGAAAAAGGAAGCCGTAAATGGAGCTGTGGATCAAATGGTAGAACACCAGAAAAGCCAAGGGAAAACCCCCAGGCCTTGAGTTTAACACACAGGCATGCAGTCGCACACGTAAACACATGCACTGATTTTATGCTAGTGAATTTAACTGCAATTTAATAAAGTAAAAATGGAAAATAAGAAAAAAAGTGAAGAAATAAGACACAAATACCCTTTTACAGCTAAAGTAAGTTTAAAATATCTTCAAGTGGAATGTTTAGCTCTTGGCGCCCTCTGCCGGAATACTCAGGTAAGCACACGTGGTGCTCCGGGCCTTGGGACCAAGCTAAGCTCCCTGTCCTCCTCCCCCCCCCATTCATCCACCTGTCTCTGCTGCCAGGCCCCAAGAAGGTTCTCTTCTCTCCAAGTTTCTTCAAGACCCTCTGTAAACAGCTCATCAATTTCCCGTAATTCCTCTTTCTGTCCTACTCGTGGGCAGGACCTGGGAGACAGATGGAAGACCAAACCACTGTCCTCCGCTTCTCCCCTATCACTGCGTGGACTTCTTATTTTCCGTGGGCTTGGGGTGGTGTGCACAGAGCTCCTGGGTGAGATGACATGCACACAGATGAACAGTAGCCTGTCTGTGTCTCTCTAGGCTTTCCCCACCTGTGCGCATGGCCAGGCTAACAGTAGCTTGCAGCACCCGTCACTGGGTGTTTTGAGTTCCTGGGTGTAAAATCGCTGTACTTTTCTCAGCAACGGGTGAGGTGTTCTGTGCACAAGGCCAGAGGAGCCCTGACAGGCCGAGCTGCCCACAGGCGCCGCCTGCTTACCTCTCCAGACTTCTCGGCACGGTCACCTGTTTCCTGCTTGGGAAAGGCTTTCATGGCCCGCACAGTGATGCGAGCCACTGAAGACTCTGGGCTGGTCCTACCTAACCACACAAGAGGAAGGGCCGGCTCCTGGGAGGAGTGCGGACCACCACAGCTGGAGACAGAAGGGCTTTATGACAAGATGGGAGAAGGAAAAGGAAAGACGGACAGAATTACACTGGAAAGAACGAGGATAAGTCACACGGGTAGAGCCATTGTGAGTCCACTGAGGGAAATTGTTGATAGGCCTTCAGGCTTTTGGAAATCCACTCAAAATTTTAAAGCTACTTCCAGAGGGGGACCCACAAGCCCATAATCCTAGCTATTTAAAAAGTTTAAAAAACAATTCCATTCACAAAAGCCTGACAAATTAAGCCCTAACAAGGTGCAAGTGGCTCACATCTGTAATCCTAGCTACTCAGGAGGCTGAGATCTGAGGTCTGAGATTGGAAGCCAGCTGTGTAGGAAAGTCTGAGATTCTTATCTCAAATTAACCACAAAACAACAACAGCAAAAACTGGAATTGGAAGTCAGGGCCTGTGGCTCAAGCCTGTTAATCCCTAGCTATTCAGGAGGCTGAGGACTGCTGTTCGAAGCCAGTTGGGGTAGGAAAGTCTGTGAAACTCTTA